TAAAGAAATAGAAGGCCACCTTATTATTAAATCATGTATATTTAACCATGTAGAATACAGTTTTATTTGGATAATTTTTTTTGGCCAATGGTAATAACTTGTTAAAAAAACAATAAAATGTAGACTGCCACCATGTACAGGACCTTCATTCGTTATTCATGATTCATTTAATAGAAATGGTTACCAACAAAAACTGGATACTAGAACCAGACTCTAGTCAAACTAAATAAACATTCAACTAGCTTTCATTTTTAAAAAGTAAAACAATATATTTTCTGTGGATCTCTGAGTTTTTGGAGTTCAAAGTCTTTTAAAACCCAATATCATGGTTATTTCTAAAACAATGGAAGAAATTATTTCTTGATGAAAAATAAATCTAAATTTCATCACAAATGAATATGTATTATTATTACAATTTTAATTCTTTAAAGTTTTTCACCTTTAAAATGCCCATAAAAGGTTTTTAGCAATGTTGCAAGAATGAAATTATTTACCTATAGGTCTGAAATTTGTGATAAAAGTCAGGTAAACTGCAGATGTTTTCTTTATACATCCCTGATAATTTGTACATTTTGGATTCAAAATCAGAGGTGTAAAAATAACTATCATTTGTCTTTCACAAGCCACTGCCTAAGAGGACATTTGTTCAATACCAGAACTTGTCAGTTTGGCTGGATGATGTAATATAAATGATTCTGTGAAACACTATTCATATATGTAGTATAATACTTTAAAAAAGTTACAATTAAAATGCTGACAGCTTGGTGAAGCATTAGAAACCAATAGGCCTAAAATTTGATATAAAAATCTTGTACACTTTTAAGGTATTATAAGTACTTCTACCTTTGAAGTAATAACTTTGAATACTATGGGTTAGGATGTTTTCAAGGTCTAGGTCACAATGTAGCAATTCAAATATTTTTTGAAGTTCTTCAGTATTTTATCCACATGAGTGACTATACAGAATTTTAAAAGATCAATAAAATTTACTTACTTGTCCACCATGTCATTTAAACATGCTTTCTTAACATATTCCATGAAAACGTATTCCTCCCAAAGAGACTATATCTTGGATGTATTATAAATAATATCAAAACTCAAATACTTAATCTAAGAGCTGCTGTAAGTATTTTTATTTAATTAAAAAGGCACATATTTAGGAAATAAAGTATAAAACACGAATATATACACACACATACAATGTATTTTTATAGAACTATGTATCACTCCTTCTAAAAATTTCTATCAACGTCTGCGTTTTTTTGGCATCTTCACAGGCCGTAAGTAAGGACTGTCCATCACATCCATATCGCTATCAGCTTTACTGGCATTGACATCATCTGGTCCTAATGAGAAATAAGCTTTTGAAATTATCAGTAAAATCACATAAGAAATAATTAATTAAAAAGCACTCTTATCTCACACTATATAAACTTTATAAAAGTCTTCACTAACTTATATCTGTAAAGTAACACATCACCACCTCAGTAATTTTACATAATAAATTAAAATATCCTTGGAAACTCAGTATAATCTTCTATGGGTGGGGTACAAAATGTGCATGCCAAGACCTTTTACAGAGTGCCATTCAACATGGTATTATGTATTTGATGTCAAAGTTACCAATTATTCATTTTACCCTACATTACTCATTTAGCAACAGCTAAATACCAGATATAAAATAAAGGGCAATGAAAAATTGTATATATATACAATTCAGAGGTTTCAGAAGTTATGAATACTATATAGTGGACAAAAATACTTTTATTTTACACATGAACATCTGAATTGTCAGGGTCTAAATGATGTTGTCAATTCACAGACATACCTTGAGCACAAATACTTTTGTAACAAATTTTTTATGTATAACAGATTTGTACATTTTAGTATAAGCTTACAATATTTTGTACAGATGCATATATTAAATCCAGAATTATAGTCAACATTCCTTCTGCAATGGACTAACCTTGTGTACATTTGGTTAATTGTTATATCCCAAGATATAAAATATTTCACCAATAACAAAAAATGTTTAATTTAGCATCTGTACAGTGTTGTAATGCTTAATAATACATGTCAGTTACCTTTGAGTGTAGGATTTTGCCAGATGAATGGTCTATGCATTAGGAATGTTGAAGTTTTATTTACTTTATGTTAACTAAAATCAAGAGACAACAACCTGTAATAGGTAATCTTTGATCTCTGTTATTTTCACTCTCTTCTTCATACACCTGATCCTTAGGTAGTAAGGCACTCAAGCAGGGATTGGATAAAGGCTTGCATGCTATCACTGTAAATACAGTTATAATACTGAACTTCTACATATACTATTGTATGTTCATTAAATCAGAGTTTATCTAATAATTTGATTTTCCAGTTAAGTACATATTTACTTTTTATTACTTTTAATAATAATTTTAAAAAAATTAATATTCAAAGACCTAATAAAACATTAAATATTAAGTGCCAATAGATACATTTTGATATGAGGTATTGGATTTATCAAACTTAAAGAAAGAAAATCTATCAGTATAACAGTCATAGTAAAAATCATGCTCGACTGCTAGTTTTTTTTTTTAAGTAGTCAATAAATATTTTTCTATATGTGATACAAAATTTCTTTTATTAAAATTAGGTGTCTTACAAGGGAACAAGTTTGTGTCATCAGTAGACAGATTATGTGTATCGCCTGTTTTAGCAATAAACCTTGTCAGAGCTCGTTCAACATCCCGCTTCTGACTCGCTGCTTTTTCACGTAAAGCCTCATACTCAGTCACTGGTTGTTTGTATGTCTATTAATACAAAAGAAAAATATTAATCAAAAAAAATTTATATCAACAGAATAAAATATTTTATTATAAAAATAAAACATATGAGGGCTTCATTCTTCTAATTAAATTTACAGAAATATTAAAAAAGATAGAATAAAATAATTACAGAAATGCTTCTGAAAAAAAAAGAAACAAGTATTAAATCTTATAAAATATAAATTTTATAAATATATAACATCATTTAGAAATACCTCATGATTTAAATATAGTAAGAAAATTCATGATAGCTAACATTTACAAAACAGTAAAGAATCTCACAACTACAATATTTAGAGTCAACATTTCTTAATAGAGTAGTGTTTTCATAAAAAAAATTAGTTTAAAATGATGTTGTTTAGTAATAATTCAAGCTATAAGAATGATAATTAACACTTTCCAGCCTTTGAAATAACTTACTGGGGTGCGAATGTAGGCATGTGGATCAGGAAATGGAGGATAGTGTTCTGGAATATAGCTAGGAAGTGGACGTTTCTCACCTGCTTGGAGAATTTTGGAGTTGGATGGTAAAGGTGTAACTGATGCTGCCATAAAGAATATTATTATTAGATTCAACAGAAACTATTCTGAGGCCTAACAACCTATTCAAATTAAGATCCTGATTACTGTGAGTTCAGGAAAAAAACAACAACCTTACCTTAAAGCTCATTTGTCAAACACAAGTATTTCTCTCTTTTAAAGAATTCTTACATTAGTAAAAATAGAAAATAACACAACTTTTTTCAGCATAACCAAATAACAGATATATTTCCTATTGACACTTAGAATGACAGAACTATGAAAAAAGCAAACAATTAGATATGTTATCAATATCTCCACCTCCATCAATATCAATTACCAGACTGAAATGTTAAAGAAAAGAAACAAATACTTACGTGTTGGCAGGTTAATTCTGTTTGATCTTTTAGCATAAGATGGGATAGAATCAATGTTGATCCCTAAGAAACAAAAAGAGTACATCAAATACTGTAAGTAAGTCTAGCATTAACATGAAAATTTGAAACTGCACAGAAAAAAAGATCTTTTAATTTATTTGAATGTTTCCATAAAGACTGTCTATAAAGGCAATGTTTGCTAAGTTTTTAACCCTTTATTTAATGCACAACCTTCTAGATTAACTTTTTTAGCAAAAAAATCTGAAACACCTCAATAAATAATTACTTTTAGAAAAGTGTGTACTTCATGAATCCTCATCACTCGTAAAATATCAATACATAACAAATAATAATAGTCAGGAACTCAGTTATTTCCACTTCACTGCCTAAAAAACTGTAGTAAATGAAGGACACTTAACTTTTTTTGCAGCTCATACAAAAGAAACTATTATTTCCAATAATGTTTTACCTTTTAATAAAGCAACTAATCAAATAATACAATAGTTTTAAGAAACTATGTTGTTTTTCAAAGTAAACATCCACTATTTCTTAATGATCATCTCATGAATTTGGTCATGTTGTGTCATTGGTTTTTTGTTTCTTCAATGCTGTTAAGCTAATCTATAAACTTCTACATTTATAATTTTTAAAAAAGTTTGTTAAAAACATTTCATCTGAGAAACATTTAGTTATTTTCTGTCCAATACATAAAACTGCTGTGACATTTACAACTCACAAGTAAAATTCACAATTAACTTATCAAGTTTACTGTTTCAAACTATCAGCAATGTAAAGGACAGGCTTAGCTCCACCTGCATACATTCTGTAAGCTGTGGAGTTATATAGAAAATCAGAAACTTTACTGGCATATCATTATTTTCTACATAAGTATGATTGTGCATGAGAGTCACTTTTACAGTTAGGAAAAAGTTACAAGAAAACTTTCATGTATCTTGCTTGCTTACCCATTTCTACAAGTGCCATAACAATGTCACCAACTACTGGTTGAGTCCTACCACTTAACTCACAAAACCCATGGGTGCTTCTTGCTATCTCGGTAAGACCTAAACAAAAGATGAATATGACATAGGAGTGAAACTGTTAAATATCATGTACTAACTAGGCAGTTTATCAGAAAAAAAAAGGGTTATTTCAACAAGGAGTAAAAGCTACTTCTAATCTGTGACAACATTCTTTACTTATGAACTGAACCAAATGAACATTAAGTGATCTTATTTATTAGCCAATAGTAATTTTAATATCTTGGAAAGTCAACTACTTCAGACAAACTCTGGCTTTTTAAAGTACACATCAGAACTAAAATTTCCAATTTCACAGTAACTTGGACATAACTGTGGTGAGAAAAAAAAAGAAAAGATATTTAATGTAACAATCTATAAACAACTAATAAAAAAATGTACTTTGATCAAATTCGGGTTGAGAGGTAGTAAAGAAAAAACAAACAAATATAAATAATTAAAATTTACAGAAATTAAATTTGGGATAGGATGCAGAAAATAAAGTAGAATATACCATTGCAAAAAAATGATGATATCTTATAACCTTTTAGATCCAAGAAACAAAACAAAACAATGTGCTATGCCGTGGGTAAGAAAACAGTACTAGTAAGCTTGTTCTAAAAGGCTTAATGGAAACTAAATATTTCCAACACAAACAAACATATATTTATAAAGTTTGATCATTTAATGGAAAAAAAAAACGGCAACAACACTAAACTGCCTAGTAACAGTACGAGTTTGTTTGTTGTATAGCTAAGCCATATTAGGCTATATGCTGTGTCTACCGTGAGGAATCGACCCCCGAATTTTGGTGTTGTAAGTCCATAGACCTACCGCTGTCCCACTGTTAGACAGCAGTTTGAGAGCTCAAAGAGGTGTAAAAAAACAATCAAATTATGTTGCACTAAAGTCTTTATGCGATTATTGTGTGTGTCAGTATTTCAAGTTGTTAACTATCAGCAATTAATCATGTGATATGTGTCTTACAAGCTTATATTTTATTAATCATAAGCCTAAGGATATCAAATCACACTTGTTTTACATATCTTCACAGTTCATCGTGTCAGTCGTGAAAATTTCAGGTAAAGTAAACCTGAAAATATAAATCGGTGACCACAAAACACGTGCATATCCGCTGTATTTTATATAATTTTTCATTGCAAATCTTACAATAGTTAATGATTTTCCCACGTGATATTAGCCGGCGTTTTACCCAACAGTTCAATGCGTTAGTTATTATTTAAACTGGTACATTTCCAGTGAATCGAAAAAACACAAAAGATATTTAGCGACCTCGACCTTTTTAAAGCAAAAGCAAGCACTAAATATAACACTGTTATCGATTTTCTGAGTTTTCTAGGCCACACATGCACCTAAGTGTTTCAGTACGATCCGTTCAAGGTTAGCCTGCTCTTCACTGGAGGAAGTAACTATGTTAATCTGGGCCGAGGTATGGAACAAAAAGAATGCATCCCTGCACAACGAGCGCGACTCACAGGGAAATAGACCATCCACGCATATTCATCGTGGTCAAGGTCGGGATGGGAGAATCCAAATTGTTACGATTACGAAAGATAAGGGAGAGCAACTGGCTTGTACTCTTACCCCCTGAAATCGTCTCAACGTGGTTGATACCAGATGATCCAATCAGGTACATTTTGTACTCTTACGTCATTTTCTATCTTGGGGTTTTATCGTTATAAGTATCGTGTTTTGTAAGTCTAATTAATGAAAATAATGTAACTGTATCACTTATATGAAACATTAAAATTATTACATTGTGAAAGGCGTTTGAAACTACTGAAGCTAATATTACAGATAATGAGATCAAAACAATTAAGCATATTCAAAAGAAAATCACACATATATAATAATATACAGAAGAAAAAAAAGCCACAAAATTGACAGAAAAATAAAAGTCTTCCTAAGTCTTCTTTCTTTTGTTTTTATTCCGAATTTTACACAGAAATGTTAAATTTAAAATTCACACTTTTCAATTAAAAAATCTAAAGTCACATTCCTTTAAAAACAACAAAATTTTGTTTTTTATTGGCTATTTTAAAAACTGAAAACATAGTATACACTATGCTGCAATTTCTGGTAATCAATGTAATGCGCAGGCTTGTAAGAGGTGTCTTCACCTTAAAATAAGAATTTTCAAAAAGTGCGGGCACACGTTTACTTTGGCTATTTAATTGCTCGGTCATGAGAGCCTTTCTTGTTTTTCCACCTGTAGTAGTATTATTGTCCTGCAAAAAAAAAGGTTTTGGACTTATAGACTCAGTGTCGAATTCAGGTGGTGTGCGGGAAAGGAATATCACCCTGTGCCCCCCCCCCCCACCCCGATATACAGTATTTTCCATTTCGTCGAATTTGAATTCATTTCACCAGTGGAAAGGTCTGGATTCAACACTGTATCAATTTGTTATTAAAATTGATTAATTTCTTCAACCTTCCCTTGTAGTTCTGTATTTCTTTCACATTTGTTTTATTTAAATACAAAGCTGAACAATGGACACATTGTGCTGTGTCTACCTTCGGAACCAAACCCTGATCTATGCATTATAACCCTTCAAGATTAAAGCCGAGCCACTGGGGAGCATTGTCTATAACATTCGTAATACTCGATTAATCAAAAGGCGAGCTAGAAAAATAATTATAACTAAAGGTAGGAGTTTAGTAACGCCAAATTATAAATTCTCGAGAAATTTAAAGAGAGAGAGAGAGTGTGTGATAAGAACTGGTCGTCAATTTTAATTATGAAGTTCGGGCTGTTTTATGGTATAATAAATCGGTGTACATGCAAAAATAGTTCCTGCAATGACTCTGAATCTATTATGGCCAATGCCATACGATTCACGGTCAAAATAAAATGTTCTCTAGTTTATCTTTCATATGCCCTTCAATGAATGAATTAAGACTAACGTGTCCTGACTGTCCGCTGTACTCGGTTTTTGCGACCTCGAGAGGACAATGCTGGCACAATTTAACACAAAAATGCCTCACTGACCTAATATCACAAAATCTCGTGTTACATTTACCTCATTACAACCACAACTTGGAAAATGATGTGTTAAGAAAGCTTTATTCTGTGCCACTGGTACAATTTAACGTAGTTATATGGAACGATTCTAAGATTTAACCTTCGGTTACACAAGGGCTTTGACATAATTATTTAGATAATGTCGACCCAGTAAATACTTAGAACAGCGTTGATGAACCCTTTCGATACCAGAAACCAGCTCACTGCCTCTCTAAATTATTGCAGACTATTAAAATGCAAGTACAATGAAAAACCACTACGATTTAGTTTGAATATTTTTAAAGTAATTCTTGCTTTGTTTTCTGGAAATTCCACGGCCCGTCAATGTGGTTTTGACGGAAGAAAAGCAACAAAAACAAATTAAAACGTCGTAACCTGTCTTTTTCGTGTTTTCATCTTCCTATAAAGCCCTTTAATTTTAAAAGTTTAAATGTTAATACAGTAATATGAATGGCCACAAGTTATGATCTACAAAGCTACAAAGCTGTATAGACAAATGAAAATTGTGTAAAAATCAATTTTTTATTATATTTAAAAATTAAAGAGCCAGTTGTTTTTTTCACCTTAAGTTTTTGTTTTGTTTATTGTTACGCACAAAGCTACACAATGGTCTATCTGTGATGTACCCACCACGAGTATCACAACCTGATTTTTAGCCATTAGACTTACTGCTGAGCCACTGGGAGGCATTAAATAACCAGAAATGATATCTGCAGTAATTTAACTTTCAACTAATACAGTGAATTTAATTTTTATTACACTAATGTCTCTCTCAGAATAAAACAAATGTACAAGATAAATAGTATTTTATACAACGATTTCATATTAGAAATATATCAATAGCAAATTTGAAAAGGAAAATACACTACAAACCAATAAACCTACACGTAGGCTCAAGAACGTTTGTTTCGTTCATACAAAAATTATCGTTCGGGTTCAAAGTAGGTCTAATTAGCGACATCTAATACCTACTTGAAAAATAAATATTTAGTTGACGTTAAAGTTGACAAACCATAAACTAAGTAGGAACATATGAAATTATACATCGAAAATGGTGGACTACGATATTCAATATATATATATATATATAATTTTGCTATCTTAGCTATTACCAGACACTCTCAGAGAGGCCTGAGCCACTTCTATATTTTGAGCCCCCTGGCTATAATAAAAAAATGACGACACATAAAAACAAAATAACACAATCATTAGCCCAAAAGAAAAGTGAAACATAATTTAAATATTTTTTATCCCACATTTAATAAATGCTTTTCTAGCCATTTTATGTGCGTAAAAAAATAAGTCACGAAACTTAACAATTGCAAAAAATAACAAGTCTAAATTTGAGACCCCTTTGAGCTAGAGGCTCTCCTGACCCCCCTCTAATTGGCTCTCCTGCTCCCCCTCTAATTGGCCCTAGCTATTAAAAACTATTATCTTTATACCCTTTTCATGCGATCTAAAGACTGAACGAATTTTACACTTAGTTTCATGCTTGTCAAAATACTCACAATGTGAAATACATAGACTTACAAATTAAAAGATATTGTAATCACTCGTATTTAAAAAATAAGGATCTAAAATTAACATTTAATCTTATAATTTTATTTAAAATATTACTGATACAAGTATTTATGTGTGTTTTACAAATATGTGAATAAAACTTGTGCTGCTACATTATTTACTCGTCCCACAGAAACGCTGATAACACACTTTATAAAATAGCACAAGCTGACTCGTTTTATTCCCTGTAGTCGAATATCAAGGTTACTTCAGTTCCAATAGAGGTCATACTTGCACTAAAAAGACACGATATAGAACACGTTATGTAGGACAAGGCCACAACACTGGCAAAGAGAAAGTGTTAGAACAATTGATTACGCCCATCAGACGCTTCAAGGTTACGCCAACCCTCAATAACGGTAGTGAACCAAAAGACGACCATGAAATCAGTCAGCCAATCTAGACGAAGCTTATCCATAAGCGCATGCGGAATGAGGCCCGCTCAACAAGTTTTTCTTATTTAGATATATATATATATATATTCATATATAAAGACACAAAACGCAACAATTATATTGATTTTAACTTATATTGTAAATACAGATAATTGGGAAAACAAAACCTGAAGAAATAGGCAAAAATGTAAATACAATGTTAACGCATCTCCGAATAATACACTGCATTCTAAAAGAGATAGTGCTACCATCTGTCGGTAGTGATTTACAATTATTTTCTTTGTTTACCTGAAGGTTTATGGCTGTAAAGAGAATTTTTATTATAAATACGTATAATAAAATATACATTGCATTGCAAACAAGGAACATGAAGCAAACTCCGAAGCAACTCCTATAAGTTCTAAAAATACAATTTTTGCCTCCTTTTAACACACAAAATAGTACAAATGCTGTCATAACACCTGCTCTACAAACCGCTCTAAAATCAAGTAAAAAAAATTTACAAAAATTAAGTATGATGTAGGGATGACAGTGCCAAAAAATATAAAAACAGTTTCGCCAGTTTCTTCATTACACTTGTAGAATGACTTCAGATATTGGTGTTATAACATACAATTGGCTACAATAGATTATTAATTAACACTGATCCTAATCTTGACTTCTTGTGACTTAATGTTGAGGAACCTACAGTAAGGAATGAACATATGAAAAGTATATAGCTGTATCATCCCTATATTTATGTTTGCATTTTTTTTGTCACTGCCATTCTTACATCATTTTACATTCATAAAATGTTTTTTTATTACTTGTCTTGTGACATTTGTTCCCCCTGACTGAAATTTAGTGTATTCTATGAATGTATCTAAATAAATATTAATATTATGTTATTTGATTTTTTTTACTCCTTCACTTCATACATAACATATGGATTGGCTCCATAAAGACACTGACTGTATAGTGTACAAAGCACTGAGTATTGCACATGTTAGTCATCTAATGTTCAACTATTATTGGCTGGTAATTCCTGTTTCAACCTATATTTAAGATATATGCACTACCAGCACTTGTGTTTGAAATTTTTTTTAACTATAATAAATAATTAAAAACAACGTTTTCTATTTACAGAATAAAAACTTTATTGAAGCCG